CACCCCCCCCCCCCCCCCCCCCCCCCCCCCCCAAGCTCGGCCTGGATATGTAGCAATCAGGCCATGCATGGATCGTGAAGTCTCAGTCAACTCACCGCAACGCATAAACGCCATGAGAGGTATGCAGGTCAACGCCGTGGATGACGACTGAAGCAATGCTCTGTTCGTGCAAGGCATGACCTTCGACCTGGGTGGCATTGAGTCCATCAAGGCGCACCACCAATCGCTGTCGTTCCTGGGTTGCTGTCACCTGCACCGCAGGCACCGCTGGCGAAACTTCGACCGGCACATTTCCCACAGCCTCGGGCGTTGTTGGAGCGTTGTCCTCGACTGCGGTTGTTGTCGCTGCAATCACCTCTGTCTCAAGCACGGCGGCCTTGGGATCGGCCACGGGCGTGGGTGATGACTCGGGGGTGGATGCGGGCACCACCTCGGCGACTGAAGTTGGTGCTACAACTGGCGTAATCGCTTCGGCTCGGGGAATCACAGGCAGCCTCACTTCCAAGTGCCGCCGCTTCTTATCAAACTTGGCCTCGCCGCGCTCCTGTGCCACGGGGTAAGCTAAAGGAATCTCAACGAAACAAGGCTCAGCACGCCCATCCTCAGATTGAACCACCAGCCGGCGCTCCTCCACGTTGAGATCCAACCCAGCCGCCGAGGCATAATTGGGCAACTCGATCGTGACTGTAAGTGCCTGCGGGCGCTGCCCTGCAGACCCCGCCGAACCGCCCTCAATCGTATCCGCCATGTCAAATTGGCGCTTTTCGACGACTTTATACACGTGTGTGTTGCGGCGGGCCGTACTGGCTGACATGGCTGGCGTCGCCTTGAGCGGAGTCGGCCGTGCGTTTGATGACTTGGTCATGGCCTGGGCAGCTCGGCCCAGCGTATCGGCCATGCTTGGTGGCTTGGAGTCTGCTTGGCTACCATCCTTCCGTGTGCGGATCACGGTCCGGGACGGCATGCCCTACACGATCACAAGAAAAGCAGATGAGCTTTTCCCCGCATTGCGAGTGAATGGGCATAGCGCAGCCAAACAGCAGCAATATCGATGAACCGAGCACAACAAGACTCTGCGGCATGCTTCCACGTGGTAGCATGGTGCTGCAGGCATGAGACGAATCAGACGGTGGCTTGCCTTCAAGGTCATTTTGGGATATTTGCAAGTATCCCGGTCAAGCTTGTGATGCGTAAACTGACGCTCAATCGCGTCCATGGCTGTGGTCGTCAGCATCTGTTGACGTGCAAAGCAACAAGCAAGTAAGACAGGCGACCAGATGTCTTCAGGCCTGGGCTAACAAGACACACCTCCTTAAAAGAGTCATTGCTCCCGCCCAGCCGCAACGCCTCGGGATGAAAGACGGCATCATAGACCACGCACAAGCGACCTGGCCCCGTGTCGGTTCCGAAGCAGATGAGTCGTACAGTACAAAGGTTTGAGACCACACTTGACTGACCAAGGGAACAGCAACGGCCAGCTGAAGATGGATATCGTCGCCTCACCTTCCTTGTCCACGTCTTCACGGGAAGCAGCAATGGAATGGGGAACAGACCAGGTCATGCCCGTTCGCCCGTGCTGCGTAGTGCGCTTGGATTGTGGTTTGGCAATGATGTCACACTGAACCCGATTCAGAGCGAGGTGAGCTGCCCTCTTACTAACGCTGGCAGAAGGGGCAAACCTGGATGACCAGGGGCAAGGAGCTGGCTCAAAACAGATGCACTGAGCCTACTTGGCAGATATTGATAAAAACCTTGGTTCCAGCCCCCTTGAGCGCCGTCTTGACCACCCACCCCGGCTGCAATCATCCCCAAACCCAACCGACCCCCACATGAGGAAAGCCACTCGGCGGACCAA